ATATAGATCTAGGTTCTAGAATAGTTTATGTGAAAATATAAAGTTGGCCTGTGTATGTCTAGAAGAGCAGGGGACTCAGAGAGGTTTCTCTGTTATCGTTGGGGGGGAAAAGCTCCAAAAACCAACAACAGCAACAAAAAAGAATGATTGCCAAAAACGATAATTTTTTCATTATAAGAGCTGTCTTCACTATACATTTTAATGTATTAATCTGAATAAACAACTTACAGGAAAACCCATTTGAATCTTACGTATAAGTATCAGAGTAGTAGAGGAAAATGTGGAGGACCATTCTTTATGCTTTTAATGCAAAATATTTTAATTTAATAACAAATCGCTCATGTTTAATATTTAAGATATTCTAGGATTTACAGAAAGTCTAGGCCACAAGGTGAAATGTTCAGATGAATGCGTGACGTTTGACTGTCTATCTGAGGCTCAGAGTCAGGGCAAGTCTTGTTCAAAGCAAGAACTTGCAGCCTTGGTGACCTCCAGGTACATCTATAACAGAGGGGAAATGAGACAATGAAAAGAAGCACAGGGCAAGCTTTCATATCAAAACCTCCTTACCTTTTGTAAACCATCTCTGACCACGAATATAAACCTGAAACAGAGGTGAAAGACACTTTGACAAGTCCCAGCATTGAGAGAGTTCATCTCTGGTAAGAAATGTACTCAGGATGAAAACCTTACTAAGAATGAATTGAGGCAAGTTGGAAGCATGAGGAAAATGAGCCCAGCACTAATCACCAGCGTTTTAGGAGGTTACTGAAGCAAGCACACAAAAGGGTGGAAGACAGGCCCTACATAAAACGAAATCCAAACCTGGCACACATGTGAGGCCAGTGGAGAAAGAAGGAAGGAAGCAAAAGAGGTAAGAAATCAGCCTCTGCTGGAAGAAGCAGTATGTCATTTACTCTCCCATCTTGAAATTCTAATGCTCTGCTTAAAATTTCTTATGGTTCTCCCGGATCGTTTTTCATTAAAAAATGTTCACAATAGACTCATTTATCAGAAATACAAAAAGAGCAAATCACTTCTCTGCAAGACTGGGACAGTGTATTGTTCTAGCTTAGCTGAGATTTGCTTTCAGGAGAATAAACTCAGTGTTGTCTTTATGCAAAGTGCTGACGGCACCCTCATCACTTCATGCTATAAGTAAACTTCATCTCCTGGGCAAGAACGTACATCTCAGAAAGATTCTAAGGATACATGAGTGCTTTCTCTTCGCTCTATGCTGAATTAGAGAAGAGATGCTGAGCAGGGAGGAAAGAGGCTGTGGAAATGGAGTCCTTGTTAATGCCTCACATATTATATGAGGTGATATATTTTTTACATTATCTAATTCCATCCACGTCACAACCCTATGCTTTAGATATGCTTACCTCCCCTCACCAGATGAGGAAATGGGTTAAAAGCTCACATAGCTTGTAAGAGCTTGGCCTAAGTCCAATTATGGGCTTCTTCCACTGTATTGTGCCATGAATTCCTTTAGTATTTTTATTCTCAAGTATTCTAAAGACTCTTTGGATTGCTAAGTGTTCATCTAATGAAAGTATTTTAAAGTCAGAAGAAAACATTTTTCTAGTTGATACATGTATGAAAAGTGAACAACTCTACTCTTGGAATGCTGCATAAAGAATGGTCAGCATATCACAAAGCAAGATCAAATGAAATGACTCATGTGAAAATAACATGAGAGTGGCTGTGTCAAAGAGGTGATGGAGTAAAGCCAGACAGTAGTACGAACAGAACATATAATTAGAATGATGGGTTCTCAAGGCGTTGGAGCAGAAATTCTGAGCACCAGCATTTTGGCAAGATTTGCAGATTCAGCCATGAAGAAGATGGTTCCCAACACGCCTGGATGGTGGGCACCCACCTGGGTGAAATCCTACGTGGTTTTTAAAGTTGTGTTTAAGGGTCATATACACACACTGTCTTCTGTATCTTCAAGAAAAGACACTTTTTGTTTTCCAAGAACTGTTGATCTTTTCTGATGAAAGTGTAACTTCTGAAAAGGAGAACTACAGTGTGATAAGGTAAGAAGCCAAGATGCAGCCAACTGAAAGCAGACACATCATTCCTGGTGATGGATGAGGCAGCATATCAGAACTGAGTGACTTTTACATACATGGTACTAACTAGAAAACCACTGAATGACTTGCTGACTATCTAAATTTAAAGAAAAGAACTTAGCGTTATAGATGAGAGAATGAAGTGAAATTTTGGGAGGTATAAAAGAATATAGAATTTATTGTAAGAATAAGATTTTTGACGTGATAAGAAATGTAGGAGTGGGCTGGGGATTTAGCTCAGCGGCATAAGCACCTGCCTTACAAGCAGGCAGACGTGTGTTCAATCTCCAGTACCAAGAAAAAAAAAAAAAAAAAAGAAAGAAATGTAGGAGTAACATAACCCTAAACATGTAATTACTATTGTAAAAAAGTGGGGAAAAGAAAGTGCTCTAAAGGATATAACTGCATGTATGTTTAAGTGTGTAGGCTTGATAACCATATTGCTAAATTTTGTTGGATCATTGAACACAACTGCTTGCAGTCTCACTGTTTGAATGTCCACTTTGTATGAGTTACTTTTGTAACTTGAACAACTATTTCTAAGAGGACAATATGTAATTTATCAGCTAGTGATTCCTTACTGTTTATTTTTTTGAAATTAGGTATTATTTCTACCCTTTTTCTGTTTTTTTTTTCTTTTTTTCTCTTTAAATAAAGATTTTTGATGTGGCTAAAATTTAGGATTAATGAAGGATATGACAAGAGAATTTTATCACCACCACAATAAACCAAAGATATAGTACAGTGTCTAAGATGTTTTGCTCAGCCTTGTCTACCATGAGTCAGAGCCCCCATTCTTTTATGTGTTTGTAAGGGAAGATTAACTGATGCCTAAAATAATTATAACTCTGGGTGTGTTATTGTGGGTGGGGGACATAGTGTTAAAATGCACAAAAGGGTTTCATTTATATGTACCATATAATTTAATCCTTTCAAAGCTCAATATGTATATGTACTGCTGTTTTCTTTATTTGGTTTATGTAGAATCTTAGGCTTGGAGTGGAAGATAACTTCCCACGATAAAAGCTCATGTTTAAGTGGTTAGAACCCAGGTCTGCTGGACTCTAGAGACGATGGTCATCTACTAGTATACTACATTATTCCTCACTAAAGTTTTCTGTGCATAAATTTATCTTGGCCTCATGTCATATGCTATACCATAGCTATCAGATACTATTGTAATTTTTAACTTAAGACTTGGTGGATAAAAAAAAATCTTTAGATTTTATTTATTTATTTTTGTGTGTGTGTGCTGTGGATCAAACTCATGATCTCGTGTTTGCCAGGGCAGGGGCTTACACCACTAAGCTAAACCCCTGGCTCCCTTTAAATCATTATTAACTAAAAATTGACCATATACTTAGCTCTTGGTTCACTTTGGTGTTTAATGATGTAGGTATGAATTAAATATCTCCATATGAATGTGTGGACTAAGTTTGATATTCTAGCATGCAAATGCAAAGTCATAAACGTGGAATCACAAATGTGTGGATTGTCATTGTTCTATTTTCAAAAGCAAGTACTTTTCAGAACTGAAATTCACACAAAAATTCATATTCCCAAATTCTTGTTATAGTTGTCGTCCTCCATTTTAGCTGTGCGTGTGTGTGTGTGTGTGTGTGTGTGTGTGTGTATGGTGGTGGCACTACATAATTGAAAATATTGGAGAGTTTGGATTAGGTGGCAGAGAAGAATCAAACACCAAGTCAAAGGCAAGACATTAATTGTGTGCAGTACTGCATAAATCAAACAGATCCTGGATGATATGGCTGTAGTTTTAGTTGTAAAAATGAAGAGGAAAGGAATTATTTTAGGAATATTAGGGAACATTGATTGTAAAGGAAAGAAAAAAAGATAATTTTAAGCATGTCTTGAGTAGAAAATTACTCTACTGAATTTTTAATGAAATTATTAAAATAAGGACATTTTTTCCAGTGCACATTGACCCTTATGAGATTTACCAATGGATTTTTCTGTAACTACACTACATTCATAATCTATCAAAGCTGCTCCACAGTTATTTATAAAATTGTTTTCTACAAGGCTCGCAACAACCTAAACCTTAAGCTTCAGTGAAGACTAATACATTTTTATGTTGAATACTTATATAGATTTAATGTTTATTATTTTAATAGAGTTTCTGCCTAGTGAAAATTCATTTTTGTTTCTGCTTGATTGAAAGATTGTAACAATCCTCTTCCCAAATTTACAGTCAGATCAAAATGGCATTTTATTTGCCCATCTGGAGATCGCCAAATGTGAAAAGCTTGTCGGTGTGGAGGCCATCTGTTGTGAATGGGGACACACATGGAAACTTAATCCTTGAACTTCTTTTTCAACTTTCATTTTTGCTTTCCTGGAGAGAAGGCAATGCAGACCAGTCCCGTGAGATGTAAGCTGTAGGCTAGGAGAGGTTGCTGCCCTTTAAGTGTTCCAATGACTTTCATTTGCCCCCTATGAACATCTCTCTGAGAAGATCTAAAAAGCAAAAAACTTGTCACTGTCTTTTGCCTACATCATGACACAAACTGAAGGTCAGAGACAGAGCTCTCCTACTGGGATATTGCTTGGACTGTACTTTGAACAAGAAAAGTCTTGAGAATCATGTCCGGCTCTTCTGCTTTAAAGGACTCATGTTCTCTTTGAGCAAATCTAACAGTTTTGAACATGGTGAAAATACTTTTCTGGTTGAATGATTGTTTTTGTCTATTTGTTTCTAACTTTGCGTCCTCATGTTGTTTCCATTTCAAGTTGGAGAAAATACTTTGGCTTAAAAATCATTTCAAAATCTTGTTACTGATGGGTTAGCACAAATGAATCATAAGGGCCTGGGTTCCAAGAGACACTTTGGGGAAGCAAACTTTCATTGTTCTTCTACAGTTAGTCATATGAACCTAAAATTTCATGTCTGAAATTCCACAGGTCAGTGTGTTACCTGGACCAGCTGGATGATGACACCCAGTGCTTACCTGTCAGCAAGGAGGCCGCAGGTTGCTGGTAGCAAAATGATCTGCCTCAGACCACTTTAGACCCTTCCATCAACTTTAGTCCTGAATTGTCTCTTATGAAAGTTAACAAAATTGCTTCTTAAAAATAATCTTAGTCTCAATTTTGCTTCCTGCATTGTCTTTCTTCAAGTCTCATTATATTCCTTTTTAACGTGTCTACACTGCGCCTTCTTCTCTTCTAGTTATCTCTTGAATAGGTGCTCAGACTTCTGCTTTGATGGCATCTTGCTTTGCATTTAAACAGCTCCTAAAAATGTCTCAGCAATGCTGCCAAGTTAATCTTCCGTTCTGGCTTTTTCAATCCCTGAACCACGTGATTTTGATTTGTATACTGGTAATGTCAAAAGTAATTTCTTCTTTATTTTTTAATGAAATAGTCAAAAAAAGGAAAAAATTTAAAAATTGGACCATAGGGAAATGGATTCATGGATTATGGTGTATAACAATGATACAATCTGGAGCACACATAAGAATTATTTTAGAAGAGAGTTAACGATTTGGACAACGGTCACAACAAGATAGAAGTGTGGTTAAAAAATACATGTGAAGTGTCACTACATTTACACTAATAAATACACGTCTGGATATTGATGGAAAGACTGAAAGAGTGTACATCAGGAAGTTAATCATAGCTATCTCTGAGTGATAGAATTATGGGGGACCTTATTTTCTTCTTTAGGCTTTGTTTCCCCTGTATTGCTTGAATGTTCTAAATGAAAGTATTTTATTTTAGAGTCAGGAAGAGTTATTTTAGAAAATGGGCAGAAGTATATTTTGGCACTTCCTTTTATTATTCTTAAACATTTATCAAAATATAGACCTATAGCTAGAAAGGTGTCACAACTCTAAATAAAGGAGCTGATGAAAATTTTTTGCTGTGTGTAAGAAATGAGCCAAACATGCAGATTTCTGGATGGCTTCTACTGTTTTTGTATATGTGCTACTGGAATGAGTACTGGATGATTTCTACTGTCTGAGACTCTACAGTAATTGCATGACACATGGTTCGTTTATGTTTCAGTAATTCTAGAAACAGTATCATGTATGCAACTTCCTTTTCTTGATAGAAAAGATAGCAAAAGATGTGGTATCATCTTTCATTTGAGATCATGTTCAAGGGCATTAGTGCCTGTGAAAATCCTTCAGCAGCATTTCTTTCCTTTAACTGCTTCAGTGTTCTACCCTAATCCTTTCTTTGTTCACTGTCTCTTTTATTGGTTTATCTTTTGTCAACCTCAGAACCCTTTCACAAGCAGTGACATATGCCAGAGGTGCCGATCTTGTCCTGAAAGATAATATTAAGATATTTGCATGGGTCCTTCCACTATTCTGTGGCTCCCATACCAAATTTTGTGCAGAGCCCCTACACCCTACTTCTAGATCAAGGGACAAATAGACAGAAAGTCCCAGGCAGGTTATCGTGGGATGACCCTGAGTCAAATCTCAAGAACTTCTGCACATTCCGATGTAGGGTGGGTATGAGAAAGGTGGATGAGAAGTAGAGTCCTTGAGGGGGATCTGGACATGGCAGAGCAGACTGGCAGGCCTCTCACAGCTTCCAGGAGTCATGAAGAAAACACAGAAATGATCTGCAAGATGATGTAGAAAGCCTCTGAGCATCTAGAATGACTTCAGGAGTGCCCAGTGAGAAGATGATGATCACATACAAAGTACTCATCACTGTTCTCTGGCATCTGAGCTCTCTGATAGAAGTAGAAGAGTTTAATCAACTTTAAGATCTAGTTGCAACTGACGATCTTGTTGCAAACTGAAACTGAATCAACTGGGACAGAATTTCTCACATCTGTAGAATGGGGTTGGAAAAAGAAAATTAGTTATTTATGGTAAAATGAAGATTTTTTTGCATGCTTAGGTGTGTGGTCTGAGAATCATAGGGTAGGAGTTGTTCTTAAATAGATACTATTCATATATGTAGTAAATACGTGCATAGATACATTTCCTTGTGTGAATTCCTTCCACATCATTTTTGGATATATCAAATGTATACCTTTAAAAAATTTGTACATGCTTACAGTACACAATGATGACATTCATCAGGAGGAATTAGTGCATAATAATGACATATCTTGATTCTGTTTTTATTCTGCTTTATCCTTCCCCTCCCTCCAGCTCTTGGATCTATTTATTTGTATGTTTACATAATTACATTCCTCATAGAGACTTGGTACACGTACACACACATTCCAATTCTCCCTTCCTATTTAATCTCATTTCTTGCCCCTCCCTCCTCTCTCTACTTCTTGGTTCTCCTTCCACATCAGAAACCCAAAATATAAATAAAAAGAAAAATAAAAGATAGACATTAGGAAATAGAAAGATCTTTAGTATACAGAAACGGATCCATTCTTTCTATATCAATGTGCAGGACTATCACATCTAAAAGCAATGAATTAAAACTTCTTTAGAGGAACTGAGGAAGAAGAAAGCACTAAGTATGTATCTTTATTATTTAAAACAAGAAAGACAGAAGAGAATTCAGCATTTTCTCTAGGGTGAAAGGAGGTGTTTTTCATCCCTACGAGCCAAAAATTACTCACTAGGTTTCCCAAGAAGCTAAATGAGACGGAGCACCACACAATTTCAGTCAAATTCTCCCTCAACTACAAATTAAAGGACTTTGGGACAGCGTCTGACTCAGCCCATGGTTAGTCCTGTGCTTCACAAATTCAAAAGCCTTTAGAACCCTGGTGAATGATACAATGAGTAAAGATGTGGAGGGCACAAAAGGAGAGGTAGGTGGGAGCTCTGATGAGCCGCTCCAAGATCTAACGGGTAACCGGCAGCCAGCCAAATGCAGATTCTAGGAAAGTGTTTACAGGAAAGTGGAAGAAGTGCAGGTTGATGCAAGTGGGAGGCTGGCATCTCCTGGGAGTGAGGGAAAAAGACCAGGAGGAAGCTGAAGAGAGAAACAAGCCAGGAAGCCAGGGGCGAGGCATGTCTTACACCTGCTGTACTGTCTAGAATAAAACAGTGATGAATTAACATCATCCTCAGATCTCCTCCTCTGCCGCCATACTACACTTCTTTTTTAAGCTTTACTCACATTTAATTAGCAAATGCAAGCCTTAAGTATTTAAGGTACAAAATGCTATATTTTCACATATGTATGCAATTGTGAAGTTATTGCAACAAACAAAATACACACTCAGCACCTCATATAGTTATTTTTCATTTCTTTTGTTACTTTTTATGGTGGTGGTGAAAACTCTTTAGATCAATCTCAAAGCAAAATTCAAGAATGCGGTACAGAATACGTCATTATATCTCTGGAGTACATTTATCCTGAATATCTGAATCCATTTGACCCCTGACAAATGTCTGCCTATTTCTTAGCTCTCATCACCAGCATTGCATTTTCTACCTCAATGTGTTTAAGATTCTACATATAAATGAGATAACACAGTGTCTCACTTTCTATGTCTGGTTTATTTCTCTTGGCACAGTATCTGCCAGATTCATCAATGTGGTTGCAAATGGAACAATTTTATTCTTCTTTATGTCAGAATAATACGTCTTTCATATATAAAGTATAGTTTCTGTACCCATTTGTTAATTGATGAATAGTTTGGTTACTTCCATATCTTGGCTATTGTAAATAACGCTGAAATGAGCCTGGAGATGCGCAAATCTTTTCAAGACAGTGATTTTCATTCTTTTGGATATAGGCTCAGAAGTAGTATTGCTGGATCTTGTAGTAGTTATTTTTTGAATTTTTTGAAGCATCTCTGCAATTTTCTACAATGCGGCTGTGCCAATTGCCAGTACCAGCCTCCCAGGCTCACTTTGCTTTGTACCCTTTCCAATTGTGTTATTGCTCACCATTTTGTATAACAACTATCCTAACCAATGTGAAGTGATAGCCTGTTGTGATCCTTTTGTCGGCCCCTATTTAGTGGTGGTGAGAATTTTTTAAAACACATTGGACATTTTTAGGTCATCTTTCTGGGAAAGTCTATAATTTTTTTACACCTTTTCTGGCATTGCTGTAAGGTTAATACAGGTCTTTCAAAATTAGTTTGTAAGTATGTTCTCTCATCTTCAATCTTTTATAAGAGTTTGAAGATTGGCATTGGTTTTCCCTAAAATATTTAATAGAATTTACCCCAGTTCTCTAGTCCTTGGCTTTTAAGTGATAGGAAGCTTCACTTTCTTTACTCACTGTTATGTAAAGATTCTTATTTCATCATGTTTCAGTCTTTCCATTTCTTTTAGATTATCCAATTTTCTATTATGTAATTTTTCATAGTAGTTCTCGAAATCTTTTTGTTTGTTTTCTTGTTATCAATTGTGAGGCTTCCTCTTTCATTTATGGTTTTATTATTTGTTTCTCTGTGTGTCCATCATTGCTGGTTACTTTAACTAAAGATTTGTTGATTTTGCTTATTTTTCAAAAGCTCTTGGTTAAGAGCTTGGTTTTAGTTCCATTTCTTTTTTTCTTTTTTTGTCTTTTTCAGTTTTATCGGTACCAGGGATCAAACTCATGACCACCTGCTTGCAAGGCAGGTGCTTATGCCGCTGAGCTAAATCCCCAGCCTCCTAGTTCCATTTCTTTAATCTCTGTTATTTTCTTCTGCTAATTTTAGGTTTCTTATATAAGAGAAACCATACAATATGTCCTCCTGTTTCTAATTTGTTTCACTTAGCAATATGATAAAAAATAACTATTTATTTTCCTACAAGTGACTGAAGTTCCTCTTTCTCAGGACTGAGTACTGCTCCATCGTGTATATGTGTCACATTGTATTTATCCATTCATCTGTTGGTGAGCATATTGGCCATGTCCTTTCTTTTTAAATATAGGCTGCATTTGTTGCCATTCATAAGTTCTGGTATTACAGTTTTCTTTGGGGAAGACAGCCTTTTGTTTTTTTTCATCACAGATACATTTTTTCCAATTATATATGATGAAACCTCATATAAACACCTTCTTACTATGCAGTTAATTTTTTTCAAAGATTCATGTTATTTTGAAGCTACCTAACAGAAAAGTTCAAATTATGTGTAAGTTTTCCCACCAATGATATAGGCTCTGCCCACACGTCCTCTTTATCTCACCACTGCTTTTATGAATCAATTCTTTCAAAGTCTCTGATGCAGAAGAAATAGACAGATTCCTAGAAACATACGAAGTACCAAAGCTAGGTCACGAAGATGTAAAACTGCTGAATAACCCAATTTCTATAATGACATTGAAAATGTAATTAAGTCCTTACCTATAGAGAAGAGCCCAGGCCCAGATGGATTCACTGAGGAATTCTACAAGAAATACAAAGAAGACTTAATGCTGACACCCTTCAAACTCTTCAATGAAACCTAAGGGAAGCAATCCTTTCTAAGTCATTCCTGGAAGCAAATATTACGCTGGTACCAAACCCTGAGAAAGACCCAACTGAAAAAGAGAACTATAGGCCAATCTCCTTAATGAACATAGATGCAAAAATCCTCAATAAAATATTGGCAAATAAGATGCAGCCAATCATCAAGAAGATTATACACCATGACCAAGTGGGATTCACCCCAGGCATGCAGGGATGGTTCAACATATATAAGTCAATAAATGTAATCCACTATATCAATAAAGCCAAAAGTAAGAAACACATGATCATTTCTATAGATGCAGAAAAAGCTCTTGATAAGATCCCAAACTCATTCATGATAAGAACCTTACAAAAATTGGAATAGATGGTCTTTACTTCAATATGATAAAGGCCATCTATGACAAATCAATAGCCAGTATCATACTAAATGGCCAAAAAAGGAAGGCCTTTACCTTAAAATCAGGCACAAGACAAAGATGCCCCTTATCACTGCTCCTATTCAATATAGTACTGGAAATAGTATCCAGAGCAATTAGACAAGAGAGAGAAATAAAATGGATAAAGATAGGAAAAAAGAGGAAGTTAAATTATTATTTGCAGATAATATGATACTCTACATAGAAGAGCCTCAAAACTCCATTGAAAGACTCCTAGATATAATAAATAAATTCAGCAATGTAGCTGAATACAAAATCAATACTCAAAAATCAATAGCATTTCTATACACTAACAACAAAATCACTGACAGAGAAATAAGAGAAGCCACACCCTTCACACTAGCATCCAAAAAATGAAATACTTAGTAATTAATCTCTCAAAATAAGTAAAAGATCTATGCAGGGAAAATTATAATACCCTGAAAAAAGAAATTGAGGAGGATACTGGAAAATGGAAGACATCCCTTGTTCATGGATAGGAAGAATAAATATTGTGAAAATGGCCATTCTCCCAAAACTATTATACAGATTCAATGCAATCCCAATGAACATACCATCAACATACCTCATAGATCTAGAGAAATCCCTCCTAAAATTCATCTGGAACAAGAAGAGACCTAGAATAGCAAAGGCAATTCTAATCAGCAAAGGCAAGGCAGGAGGCATCACAATCCTTGACTTGAAGTTATACTACAAAGCTACTGTAATAAAATCAATATAGTCCTGGAATAAAAACAGATCTGATGATCAATGGAATAGATTAGAAGATACAACTACAACTACAAACACACTGAACCACCTTATGTTTGATAAAGGGGCCAAACATGTTCACTGGAAGAATGACAGTCTCATTTATAAATGGTGCTGGAAAAACTGGCTCTCCATATGCCAAAAACTAAAATGAGACCCATGCCTATCACCATATACTAAACTAAAATATAAATGTATCAAAGATCTGAATACTAAAACAGAAACACTAAATCTATTGGAAGACAAATTGGGTAGAAACCTTGAAAACATAGGAGTAGGTAGAGTATTCATGAACATGACCCAAACCGCACAGGAAATACTCCACAGAATCAATAACTGGGATCATTTCTTATTAAAAAGTTTCTGCATGTCAAAAGAAATCTCCAGCATAGTGAAAAGAAAACCTACAAACTGGGAAAAAATCTTAGTTAACTCTCCCTCAGACAAAGGACTTCTGTCTAAAACATATAGAGAATTAAAAAAAATCTGAACCCCTAAATTCAAGGACCCAATCCAAAAATGGGCATCTGGGATGAATACATAGTTCTCAGATGAAGAAATACAAATGCGAAATAAATACAAGAAAAAAAAATTTCATCATCGTTAGTCATTAGAGAAATTCAAATTCAAACCACACTGAGATTCCATCTCACTCCTGAAAGAATGGCCAGAATCAAGAAAACTACCAACAACAAATGCTGGAGAGGCTGTGGGGAAAAAGGAACTCTCCTGCACTTTTGGTGGGAGTGTAGACTGGTGCAACCATTGTGGAGGTCAGTCTGGAGATTCCTTAAAAAGCTGAGATTGGAAGTCCCATTTGACCTAGTTATTCCACTTCTATGCATATTCCCAGAAGAAATGAAAATATCATACCACAGTGATATATGTGCACCAAGGTTTATAGCAGCACAATTTGTAATAGCCAGATCTTGGAAACAACCTAAGTGTCCATCAACTGAGAAATGGATAAAAAATTTGTGGTATTTTTATACAATGGAGTACTGCTCAGCTATAAAGAATGATCATCTTAAGATATTTTTAAATAAATGGGCGCAACTTGAGATCATACTCATAAGCAAAATAAATCAAACTCACATGTATAAATACCGTATAGTCTCCCTAGTGTAAGAAATAGTAAGAGTACATAAGAGTTTATGGTAATCATGATTCCCCATTACATTGCCCTCAAGCCTTATAATGTTTCATTCACCAGTTAGAATGGTTTTAATCTGTTTTGTTTGGTTTTATTATCTGTGATGGTATGAACAGCTATTTTGAGGAAAGCAAGTCATTATAATAGCCAGTGCTGATTTAATATCATCTTACTCTGAAGTCCTACCGTGCTTCTGCTCTTCAGTTTCCTTTGGTTCTATCGTGTTGTATCTTATTCGATTGTATTGTGTGTGACAGTATAAACAAATTATATATGGAAAATGAGATAATATCGTAGTCGTTGTTTGTTTTCTGTTATTTGGCT